CTGTACTTCATTAGAAGTACTGAAGTATTGAAGTATTGTCCCTGTCTCCACCTTCAGGCCTCCTCCACCTCCTCCCAGTCAGGATGACCCGTGCCTTCTGCTTCAGCTTCCTCCTCCTCCTCCTCTTCATCTATGCTCGGGCTGAACCCCGGAGAACGACAGCCTCTCAGCGCAGGGTGTCACGCGCTCCAGCCGCAAAAGTGCGTCTGGCGGGGAACTTTGCAAGGGAGCCGCACGAGGGCCGCGTGGAGGTGCTGCACAACAACACGTGGGGCACCGTGTGTGATGATGAGGTGAACCTCAAACTGGCCAATGTGGTGTGCAGAGAACTGGGCTTCCAGAGTGGAATAACGTGGGCACACAGTGCCAAGTACGGAGAAGGGGAAGGTAAGAGCGCCACCTATACTCAAGTTTGGTTTTGATACTGCTGATGGACACTTTTCGACTGAAGGAGAGTGAGTTGAAGTGAAGGTAGCCCCCTGTAAAGGCTCTGCAGGAAATGAAGGGAACTAGTACTACCCTTATTTACAAACCCAGTATTGACTTTATTTATCCCTACTTGCTACTTTTTAGATTTTCTACACTGAAACACAAGATAAACTTTGAAACTTATTTAAGCACATAATCGTAGTGTGGTTAGTATCCGGGTCTCAGCCCTCGTACTTCCATAGTCAGGAACCATGCAGATTAGGTTATATAGACTTTAAATGAACCTGCAGTATGATGGTTGGTATCATCTGGACCATGGCCAGCCCAGGGTGTACTCCCACCCTCACCCCATGTCTGCTGGGACTGACTCCCCCACAGTGTTCAGCAGTAGGAGGCGATTTAAATTCCATTTAAATGAAAAAAGGATTTAAAAAATATATTTTTCTTCTGCTCTCCCAGATTAAAACGTCAGACCTGAGGAGGTTCAGCACTGGCTGCCAGTGAGAACTTTCACAGACTTATTAGGATCTATCACCCCCCAAAAACGTCCACAGCACAGTGTTTTCCCCACATGTCATTAAATGCACAGCTTCAATGAAAGACCACCAATTAAGACAGCCAATATAACTCAGATCATAAAGTGACAAAGATAACCTTTTCATAGGACTGGAGGCTGTTGCGTACCCTGTTAACGTTGCCTGGCGTGCTGGAGGAGCAACTATACGGGAGAAAAATGGGCATTTGTTTCAGAATAATGACAGCATTCACTTTGCCAGAGTTGTGCGACTTGCTGCGGTTTATGGGCTGCTTTTAAATCCAAATTAAAGAGGAAGGTTGAATGGATTGATGGAGTACGATCTCCATCACCCAGCTCGGTAAAATACCATGTTTCTGCTGCTAAACACCATGGTGCAACTTTAAATCAGGGCACCAATAAAAGTCAAGTGTAAAGTCGTAGAGGAGTCGACTCTGGTCCTGACACATTAACGAAAAAGATTGACTGACGTATGAGTAAAATATACAACAAATGTAATTATGACTTGTCGGTTCTCGCTCTCAGGGCCGATCTGGATGGATAATGTGCGTTGCGAAGGAACAGAGAAGTCCATAAAAGACTGCAAACACAATGGCTGGGGTGTGAACGACTGCAAACACTCGGAAGATTTGGGGGTGGTGTGCGCCCCGGAGCGCAGACAGGATCAAACAGCCAGTAGAGGCCCGACCACAGCGGCCAGGCCCAATGGCAGCCCTGCTCCTCAGTGGCAGGGCCTCGTGGCCACACGCAGGCAATCAGGATATGGCTATTACGGAAATGGACATCCACAGGAGGTTCCAAGGTTGCAGCGACCCCATCATTATCATGTACGTCTGCTACTTCATTGAAACCATTTCTTTGAGTTATTTTGAAACAGAAATCTAACAGATTTTTTTTTGTCCTCAAGGGTCAGAGTAAGGTGCAAATTGAGGAGGTCCGGCTCCGTCCCATCCTCATGGCCACCAAGAAGAAGAACCTGGTCACAGAGGGTGTGGTGGAGGTGAAACATGCCGGAAGATGGAGGCAGGTTTGCGACCAGGGTTGGAGTCTGAACAGCAGTCGTGTTGTGTGTGGGTTGCTGGGCTTTCCAGAGGCCGCTCAGCACAACGCTAAAATCTACAAGTGAGTAACCATTGAAGACCGCTACTAAAAAGTCTGAACTTTACTGTACGTTCCCATCGTCTTCTCCTCCATTAATGGTAATAGGAATCCTATCTGCCGTCCCTCTTCTTTTTCTCCGAATCACTTCTTCTCCCCTCATTGCCTCTGGCTTTCTGACTCAGATGCTATCTCCAACTTGCAGGTCTAAGACAGAGAACCTCACTTTAACTTTTAGATTTCAGTGCCTGGACATAATACGGCTGCTGATTGTACTTTAACAGTGACATCGATACTGCGTGTGACAGTTTGATGCTGTGGAAGAGAATGAGGTTCTGGTGAAGCATCTGGTCATATAGGCATCAGGCACAAGTCAGCCGCATGCCTTCATATTCAGTCAGTGGGGACCATGGTGGTGTGTCTGGGTTTTTAACATTTAAAAAAGATTTATGGCAAGTTTCAAATCACACCAGTGATATCAACTTCAAATTTTAGCCTCACAGCTAGACTCTGACAGCTGAACTACAGCAGCAGACTGTTAGACAGTCCTTGATAAATGCTCCAAATATAAAAAATACTTTTAGCCAACAAACTGCAAAATATAACACATCACGTACGGAGGTCTGACACAGTTCAGCAGAACAGACAGACTCACCTTACTTTGTCTTCCAGGTTGTTTGAGTGAGACATAAAAAGGCCCTGCATTTAGGTTTTCCCTTTTTGACACAGATCTGCAGTTCCTCGTCTCTCACTCAGAAATTAAAGGAATAAAAAACATAACATGGACAGTGGTTTATGGGAAGGTTTGCAGCCACAGAGGGACCACACATTAACACAGAATAACGCCATAGCTATTATAGGAATAAATATTCTCCGACCATTTGCTGTCCTCACAGAAAAGCAAAACCCGGTTGGAGCTCGCTCCTGGATCGCTGCGGGCTCTAGGTGAATCAGAGTTGAAGTATTCCTTCTCTCTCTCTCTCTCTCTCTTGGCCTGAGTTTCTCTGACTCAACTGACGACACACCGCAACATCTGCTCTCTCCACTAGGTGCTAGATTTCTCACTTTACTGAGAGGATGTAACTGTTTTATATGATTTATACACTCTGCAGACATTTTTTTTATTAACTGCACAATATGTTCCTGTTAGCACACACACACAGATACACACACACTAACACACACACACACAAAGACATTGGGAAAGTGTTTCAGTGCCGCCCTTGAATTAAGCCATCACCATTGTTCCCTGTGTTATTGGGAACACAGTGAGGCTATAACTGGATTCTGTTGTCGGAGGAGGACATCACTGGGTGTCGTGTGTTGCGTAATAAACTGGTTTCACTCTGTCCACAGTGGAGCATTTATGAGAAGAATGTTTTCACAAACATGATTTTCTGTCGCCGCCCAGATGTGACCGTTGCGATACGAGAAGGACACCAAAGAGTTAAATCTTAAAAGTTTGATGGGTGGATGTGGCGGCTGGGTGAACGGTATGATTTGGCAGCTAGTGCTGTCACTTTTTTATTTGAAAAATACTAATAAATAATTTAAAAGCTAGACCTTTGAGGAGAACAGGCGCCTGGTGTATCACATTTTCCTGAGACCAACACCAGTTCCTCCATGCACTCTTGGATCTTATTTTCCTGACCATTGCCTTTTGTTCTGTGATTTTAGTCGGGTCTCTATTGAAGCAGTAAATGAATGTTCAGCACAAAAGTAAGTGGTTTGTAAGCCTAGGGTGTAAAAACAGTGGATTTTGATTACAGTACAAATGTTAGACCCCCCCCCCCAAAAAAAATAGCCCAGCAGATGGTTGAGGCGAGACGCTGCTTAACTTGCTTGCTAGCAGCAAAATAAAATTCCATTATTAATTAAATCTCTAATACTACAATAGAACTGGGAAATGAAAAGCAGCATAAATAGGTAAAAACAAAACAAAACAAGACAAGACAAAACAAGACAAGACAAGACAAGACAAGACAAGAAAGAAAGAAAGAAAGAAAGAAAGAAAGAAATGGATCGTCATTCCTGCGTGTTGATACTCTAGGTTCTGTTTTGTTCTT